GACTAGACTGCAGTTAGAAACTCTGCCCTGTGACAGGCACGCGATGAAGAGTTTCGACTGCAGTGTAAACTTCAGAGGGGCTTGGACTCCAAAACGGCAGTTTGAAACGTATTTTCAAACTCTAACCCTGACAGCGCCCTAGTTTTCTCAACTTCTATTCTAGACTACCACATTGGATCCAAACACAATTGCAGGTCTAAAAGGCGACCTGCTGGGCAACCGCCCCCTTGTGACACTCCACCCTGATTCACTGGAACAACACCCATGGCTCAGACAAGCCCAGACCCGACTGCCTGCCTCCTGTGGCTATTTAACCGAGTGCCCTGGTAAGTACTTCCATATCAAACAAACAAACTGGAAACCATCTAACTAAAACGCATTACAAAGGCTACCACACAAAATAACCCAACCGGTAAAAAATGCAGATCCCTACTGCAGGTCTACAAGACGGCCTGCTGGGCGACGCTGTATCTTTCCATGTTCTAGCCAAGATTCTCTCTCGTTTTGCACATTTCGAGTGAAACAGAGAGTGGATCTTCGGCTAGAACATGGAAAGATACAACGCCACACTCTTTTCTTTTTTCCTTCTTGTTTCTTCTTTTCTTTTTTGGAAAACGGCGTGGCCCTCCAACGTGGACGACTGGACTGCAGTTACAAACTCTGTCCTGCGACAGCCATGCGACCGAGGAGTTTGGCCTGCAGAGTAAACTTCAGGGAAGAGGTCCCACTAGCAAAGAGGATTGGATTGAATGCCTCCATCCGGACATGTTTGGGAAAAAGGTGCAAAAAATGGAGATTGAATTGCTTTTCTGCAGCTCTGCTTAAAACATGTCCAGATTCAGGAGCTTAGTCCAATCCTCTTTGCTGGTGGGACTTTGCCCCAGAGGGGACGGATGCCCTTGAGCTATTATCATCGGACTAACTAGCCCAGCTAAATTCAATCTTGTGTCTAATCTGACACCGGGTGGCCCCCATTGGCCTCGTGCACCTTCCTGGGCAAGCTTGGCGCCTACCACCTAGAGACAGCCCGTTGGTCCCCCCAATTGGCATTAAAAAGCAGTCTCTGCTGATGTTCATAGGGGGAGCGGTAGTTGGGGAGTCACAGCGACTGGCCACTTAGATGAACCCAAGACCTCCTGAATGCCACTTGCGTGCCTTACCAGCTGAGCTAGGCCTGCAGGTTAAAAATTTGGACCCTTTTTTTATTTATGCGTGTCATCCTTGCACAGGGGCCATGCTAATCTTCAGTCTCTGTATCATTCCATTTCTCTAACACTGACCGCACCCTAGTTTTCTCTTTTTTTTGTGTGTGTGTGGCTTCTGCTCATTGGTCTGCAGTTTCTGCTCGTTTGTCCCCCATGGACCTCTCTTCACAGTGGATGAAGTCTACTTCGGCATGGTGAGCTATTGCCCTGTGGTAAAGTTCCGTCGTATGAATGTTGCCAACACCCAACAACTGCTCTTCCCGGAGTAACCAGCGTAGGGATTGTACTACTCCAGCGTAGGGATTGTACTAGATATCTCTATTTTTGTGATATGTCTATTTGTGTGTGTGTGTGCAGGGAGAGTGGGGGGCGGGTTGGGAGACCCCTCCCCCACCAATCAATCAATCAATTAAAAAAAAAAAAAACTTTAAAAAGTATTAAAAAAAACAGCGAGTTCCCATGTGTGTGTGTGTGTGTGTGTGTGTGTGTGTGTGTGTGTGTGTGTGTGTGAGTGTTTTTGCAAGGGGGGTAGAGGGGTTGGGAGACCACTCCCCAATCAATCAATCAAAAAAAGAAAAAGAAAACAGCAGGTGTTTTTAACCCTCGTGTGTGTGTGTGTTTGTGTGTGTGTAAGCAAGGGAGGGGACCCCTACCCCACCAATCAATCAATCAATCAGTCAATCAATTAATCAGTAAGTCAATCATATATGCAAAATCAATCAATCAATCCATCCGGAACCCCAATCTGCACGCCCCCCCCGCCAAACCCCTCCCCTTCTCCCCTTCTGGCTGCTACACGGTCACGAAAATCGCCACGGCTGCAATAATTACCGCGGGGTTGCAGGCATGACTGCAACTGCGATTGTGACTGTGGCGACTATGGCCGGGGGAGATTCATAGCTTTGAATTTTGAAATAGCCCTCTCAAGGACCTGCCTCTCTCCACTAGGATCCCAAACAGCTCGGCGCTCGCTGGCTACTCAGGTCGGCTCTTTTGGCTATTTCAGTCGGTCACGTGTTCGCTGACGTAACGCTACAGTATAGTATGGCATGTGTCCGCTTCATTTTTGCATAATTTTTGCAACCTGTAAAACAGAAAACACCGTTGTCACATTGCAGGCGTCGTATGGTGTCTCTTTTTGGATTGTCAGTCGGACGTTAGTCCACCACAAAAGAAGGGTGCCTCTGGTGACTGCTACCCTTCGCCACCCACCACCCGCGCAAGGCAGATGATGATGAGGATCTAAACATCGCATGGATGTTCCCCCATCATGTATCTGAACTGACCATTAAGGATCGCATCCAGCCGTAAGGGCCATGTGTAGTCCCAGCCTCGGGGGCAAACAAGCGCTGTAAGGCACGTCGGTAATGAATTCCCCCACAAACATCCACATGATCCCACAACTCGAAGGTTATTTGGTCTAGTTGTCTGGAACCCTGTTCAACTGTTGACACTATTATGTGTCGCCAAGTTCACCAACTGACCACACAAGACGCTCTGTAACGTCTAGTTATCTGCTGGTGATCTACCAATTATCCGACCAACAATCCAAAGAGGATCGGGGAACAAGACGCTCTGATAAGCTCTCATCATTGTACAGGGACGCTGGACCCGATTTCCAGCAGGTGTAGCTCGCCACCAATAGATGGAGCCTTCGACGCCGGGAACTACTTATCGGGGAGCCCTATACGAAGTTTCATTAAACAAAGAAAAAGGAGGATAGGGGCTCCTATCACCTCGATAAGTAGGTTTCCCGTATACGAAGGTTTATTTAAAAAAAAAAAAAAATAGAGGATAGGGAAACCCTACAGTCTTCCCCCGAGTACAACGTACGGTCATTATAGCTGAATTTAGACTGAAATATACATCAAATTCAGCTATAATGACCGTACGTTGTATTCGGGGGAAGACTGTAGTTCGACCCATCTGTTTGGGGGTTCATGAGGCTATACTTTCCGGATGTCAAGAAACATTACCAAGTGCCCTATGCCGTCAGTACCTTTCCCAGCAGAGTTTTTCAGAGCCGGAGCGGCCTAGCGGGTGACGCGGCAGGCCAGCGGGGGTCGACATCAGGGGAGGAAGCCCGTTGAATTTTCAACCCGACCTCGATCCGTAGATCGACGGAACTTGAAAGAAGGCAACTAAAATAAAAATTAAAATGTTCGCCGTCTTCCTCCACGCACAAGGCACGGCCATTATGGCTGTGTATTCGGGCAACTTCCGGTCCAGTTGCAGCGATGATGACTGTGCATTATACTACCGGATCGAGGCACTACGCTCTTCCCCCGAATAGAGCGCAAGGTCATGACAACTGTATTCAGGGGAACTTCTCGTCTATATACGGCGATAATGACGGGCGGCTCTATTCACATAGGGAAACAAGGTAGTCACATAGGGCACCGAACGTAAAGAACAGGGGAATATAAATAAGCAGAAATTAACGAGCCGCCGATCACCAGCAGGAGAACGGCAAGTAATCATCAATCGGCCAGATCAAGTATGTGTACGGACCATGAATCGGCCTCGATTTGCTCTAATCCTTTATTTTTTTTAATTCATAACTACTTATAGATGTTTTTTTTTAATCACCATTGTTTTGCTTCATCTACTTCGATACGATGCCGAACTCAGGTTTGCAATTCATGGGTTTCGGTTCATAGCTACAGTCTTCCCCCGAATACAACGCACGGTCATTATAGCTGAATTTAGACTGATATATGTACCAAATTCGGCAATAATGACCGTACGTTGTACTCGGGGGAAGACTGTAGGCCCGATCGGGCTGGTAGCTTTTCACGAAGGGATGAAGACCTCCCTTCCAGAAGAGATTTTCTAGGAATAAACCGGTTTAACCCACGGAGATCTCCGACCGGAGAAAGACCCATCTGTGAAAATCGACGAATTATCAGGGCCGACAAATCGCGACAATCCATAGCCGTAGCGCTCAAATCCCGTGACACAAGCAGCACATTCTTAGGGTTTCTGCCATAGCCGCGCTGCGTGCTAGGGTTTCTGCCATAGCCGCGCGGCGAGCAGGGCGCGTGCATAGCCGCGCAGAGTTTAGCAACCACGCCCCGGAGCGCTCAGCAAGGGGAAGGGGGCTCTTACAACTGTCGAGCAACAGAGACAAGAGCTTGTCCAAGGCTTAGAGGGGGGAGTGGGTGGGCCCTCTGATGACGGGAGGCAGACAGCATGGGGGTTTCACACAGCAGCTGCGGAGCTGAACGAGAGCTAGATGGCAGCTTTCAAGAAGAAGAAGGGTTACTTTTTGAACGATCCGAACTCGCCGAACAAGTTGAGCCGAAGAACGCTGGAGCTCAGCATCCTTCCCATGGAACAATCAGAGCAACTTCACAGATTTGACTGTTCAAGACGTCAGCATCTTCCTGTGGATCATTTTCGAGTAAACGATATCTACAGAAGCGGAATCCTTGGAGGGAAGCAGAGCAGGGCTTTGACACATCGGGCCCTCAGAAGATCATATCGACCGAGCAAAGAAAATGGAGCAGCAGACATCGGAGCAGCAACAACGCATCAACAACGAATCAGCGAAAAGTGAAGAAGAGTGGCAGCCTGAGAAAGAGAATTTTATGTGTGTGTGTGTGTGTGTGTGAGAGAGAGAGAGAGAGAGAGAGAGGTGCGTGTGTGGGGCGCGCGCGCGCGAGAGAGAGAGAGAGAGAGGGGGGTGGGGAGAGAGGGATGGGGGAGAGAGAGAGAGAGAGAGAGACACAGAGAGAGAGAGAGAGAGAGAGAGAGAGAGAGAGAGAGAGAGAGAGAGAGAGAGTCCATCTGCTTCTGCAAATCCAACCCGTTCACGGCCATAGGTACCTCATCTGAAAATACAAAGAGAGCCGATTAAGACAGCCGAATGACAGTCATCACGATTCATAATTGGAAACATGTGTAGAAGTCTTCATTTCTACAGCGAATCTTCCTTCCCTCCCCACGAAGACAAACTTAACAATGTCTGTCCCAAGGCAACCTTTCCGCTCTGAAATACATCAAAACGCCTTCATCATAATGACCACAACTCGTTTCCTGAAACACACACTCCACTCTGGCAATCGCTAACTGCCATAATGACGAAAGCTGGTACATGGAGCCAACTTTGTTCAATAAAGACCGGGACAGCGTGAACACGAAAACGACAAATAAAATAACTGTAAGTGACTCTCTCTCTCTCTCTCTCATCCGAACATTAAGGCTTTGCTTTCCTTGTAACGAGGTAGTTATCGGTACCATCAGGAAGGCGACAGCCTTCACCTAGCAGCAGAGGCTTTGTACAAGATCGAGTCCCTCGCAACCGGTTTTGGAGATGATTTGTGCAATGAGGCTTTTCCGGGCCTCCGCAGACAGAACCTTCTTCTCTAGTGCCAGCTTCGTCGCAAGCGAGCGCACCGCGCAATCCTCTCGAGCAAGGTAGTACAGAGCACTGACAACTCGCCTTTCCTCCGCACTCAGCAGGTAGTCACATTCCCACCCAGTGGGAGGCACAGGCAACGGACAGCAGGCTGACGGAAGACACATGATGGCAGTCGGACATTGGACAAACGCTGCTTGCTCCACGGCTGCCTTCTCCAACTCGCCCTTCATAACCTCGTCCTCGGAGACGAGGGCAGCTATGGTGACAGCCTCAACGCCTCCCTCGGCGAACAGCTTAGAATAAATCTCTTTCCGGCACGCCACCGTCAACCCCTCTTGCATCAGTTTGACAGATAACTCGTAACCCGCACAGCCAGCAATCACAATGACCTCCTTGAGCAATTGCTTCTCCCTCTGTCTCCTGGCCTCCCTTCGCGCACAAAACTCCACCGGCGGCTCGCCTCGGACGAGACGGACACGCTCTCCGGCCGCCACTACAGTCCTGAGCACGGCAACGTCAGCAGCGAGCCGTGCGCCGGCGGCAAGCGCAGACACTCCGCCGAGCTTCACCAGTTCGGCGTACAAGGTCTTCTTCTCGGAGTCCCCAAGGAGCGATGTACAGTCCGCCAGGCGAACCGCGATCTCGTGCCCGCGAGACCCGGCAGCACAGACAACAGATTGCAAGAGCTCGCATTTTAGGGAAGCAGAGAGGGTGGAGTAGGAAGAGAGAGGCGGGCAGCAAGCACTCCACACGGGGGAGCACACGGGGGAGCAGCGGACATGCTCCCCCACGGCCGCGGCAAGAACATCAATGTAGCAGGCATCACCAGCTATGGCTGCCGCCGTCGTCACTGCTTCCATGCCACCCTGCACATAAAGCGTCTTGTAGTGGCACTTGCGCTGCTCGGTGGACAGGGACGCATACTCGTTCTTGAACTTGAGACCGATCTCGTATCCCTCCACACCCATCAACGAAAC